CTTTGCAGGAATGGACCTCAAGTTGGCTTTGAGACAGGGTCTCCCTACATAGCCCTGGGTGACCTGGAGCTCATGGCCATCCTCCTGCCCCAGCCTCCTGCTAGGATGACAGATGTGCACCACCGCACCCTAGGTCTCCATGGAAAAGGACCAGTCAAGTGCTCAGCTGGTCTTGGTACCCTGTCATTCACAGATCACCTGTGCCTCAGTTTCTCCAAGTGAACAGTGGGTTCCAGGTGAATCCTGAGCACTCCTCAGTGGCAGAATGGGCTGTCCAGGGGGAGCTTTGGACTGCCCCCAATGCTGAGTTACCTTGGTGCCCAGGATCTCATAGAGATGGGGAGAACCACACAGTGCAAACACCAAGAGGCCCATGTGGCCAAGTAGTATGAGCTTCCAGAAGAAGAGACTCCCATGATGAAGGACAGCAGGACTGGGCTGCTGAGGAGGGCCAGGGGGAGACTTGACCCAATGTGAAGCTCCAAGCCCCTCTTCCATGGGCAGCTGGGAAAAGGAAGTGTTTGAGTGACTGTCCTGGTCGGGTTGGGAGTTTATACAGGCAAGGGAGGAATATCACAGCCATTGTTTGGATGTTGGTTATAGACATTGTCGTGAGTCATACCTTACCCAGAGCCCAAAAAACACAAAATAGTCCAGATCCTCAAAGACTGGAGAGGATAAAGGCTCCTGTGCCCAGAGACAGGTGGATGGATGATGGACACACACTGTGGTCCATCCATACCCTAGAATATTACGTAGCCAGGAATAAGAGTGAGGTCCCCAATACATGCTACAGTATGGAGGGACATGAGGACACCGTGTTCGGTGAGAGACCCAGACACAAAAGGCCTCACAATGTGTGAAAATGCCCAAACAGGCCAATACAAAGTTGAGAAGTAGGTACATGGGTGTCAGGGGCTGTAGAAGGAATGGGGCCTTTCCTTTGTATAGTAGAATGTTCTGAAAGTAGAGGTATGTGATTACATGTGATCTCAGACTTATATGCATAATGTTGTCCCCCAAAAGGCAGGTATTTAAATTTGTGTGTGTGTGTGTTCATTCCTTGGGTGTGTGGCGATTCCCTAGAGTCTCAATTGGAACTGTAGTTTTTTTTTTTTTGTTTTTTTGAGACTGGGTTTCTCTGTAAGTTTGGAGACTGTCCTGGAACTCTCTTTGAAGACCAGGCTGGCCTCGAACTCACAGAGATCCACCTGCCTCTGCCTCCCCAGTGCTGGGATTAAAGGCGTGCGCCACCGACACCCAGCTTGGAACTGGAGTTACAGATGGTTTTGAACCTCCACATGGCTGCTGGGGACTAAACTCCAGGTCCCTCTGGAAGAGCAGCCAGTGCTCTTAACCCTGAGCCATCTCTCTAGCCTGTTTTTTGAGACAGGGTTTCTCTGTGTAGCTCTGACTGTCCTGGAACTCTCTCTGTAGACCAGGCTGGCCTTGAACTCAAAGGTCCACCTGCCTCTGTCTCCTGAGGGCTGGGATTAAAGGCGTGTGCCACCACACCTACTCAAAGAAAATCGATTTTTAAAACTACACCGAGGGGGTGCATACTGGGAGATAAAAACTCCACACAGAGAGGGGTGCACACTGGGGACAGCTTGGTTTCATTCATTCATTCCTGCCAAGTGGGTAGAGATTCCAGATAGCTTTGCTGGGTTGTCCCCTTACCTGGGGGCGGGATTGATGACTCATATCTAATCCACATTTTCTGATCACTAAAGAGGAAAACAGCTTGAGTTCCCACAGCAGGCATGAATGGGCCTTTAAAACGCCTTCCCAGCCTAGTAGTTGGTGTGGTTGCCACCTGTGGGTCCTAGTACCTCAGTAGGGGTGGGGGGGACGGGAACAGGGCCAGATAAGTGAGTCAGGATTTCTTCAGGTGAGGCTAACCTGGGCTCATGGACCTCTATCAAAAAAAAAAAAAAAAAAAAAAAAAAAAAAACCCAAAAAAAGAAAGAAACCCAAACTGTCCCATCAGCCAGGCAAGTGCCTATCACAGGGCTCAGAGTGTCAAACCCAGGCCACAGCCATTCTCTGTCTTCTGCTGCTGTACCCAAACTGGGTGACTGCAGGGAGTGTCCATGCTGGGGCTGGGGCCAGGCTAAGCCCTGCTTGATGTCTTCTTTCCTGGGGTCCACCCTGCCTGGCACCAGTCCCAGATGGGGCCATGTGGACTTTGGAGCCCTGGGGAACCAGCAGGGGGCCTGGGCTGCCACAGTCTGGGGGACAAAGGTTTCCTTAGGGGCCTCCCACACATGTACACACTCAGAGCAGTCTTTTTTTTTTTTTTTTTTTTACTGCTGGGGACAGCTAGGGCCCCTCGGCTCTGAGGACACCGCCCTGGGCCCTTGTGGGAACGGCCCTGGCTGCCCAGGTGTGGTCAGAACAGAAACCTGCAGATGGGATGTTATCGTGGGCATCTGGGCCCCAGGGCCAGCCAGATCTGGAAGGGGTGGTTGTAGTGACCACTCAGGCCTGTCACCCTAGCTCTCAGGAGGAAAAAGCAAGAGGGTTGCCAGGAGTTCCAGGCTACACCTTGCCTCAAAAAAGCCAGACGACCGTTTATGAACAATTCATCAACAAAAACCAGTCAAAAGGAAAAAAACAAGAGCCAGGCAGTGGTGGTGCACATCTTTAATCCCGGCACTCGGGAGGCAGAAGCAGGTGGATCTCTGTGAGTTTGAGGCCAGCCTGGTCTCCAGAGTAAGTTCAGGACAGCCAGGGCTACACAGAGTAACCCTGTCTCAAAAAGCCAAAGGGGAACACACCCCCACAACAAAAGGTCTTACTGGTGAGAGCAGAGGAGTTTGGATAGTGTGAGCCAGGGTTGTAGAGCAGTAGATATATTCACACTCCTGAAAAGGAACTGCTTGGATGACTGCAAAAGGGAGGTGAGAAAGGGCAATGTACACTTAGTAAGTGCCTGCTGTATGCCTTTATCCTGGCAACCTGAAGCCAGTTTGCAGATGAAACAGAGTGGTTGTGGGGGCCAGGACCACATGGCAGGGAGTAGAACACCTACTGCAAGGCCTAAGAAATCATGCATATTTAATGAACATTTATTAGACAACTGCTGTGTACTCTAATTCAGACAAGAAAAACCTCTCACAGTGCTGAGCTGTCCCCTAGAGCCTGCTCTACAGGGTGGGATGCACCCCTCCCAGAGGGCAGCCAGAAGGGCGAGATCTCCATAAAGCCAGGGCTTTTACAGCCTGTCTTTATTGTTGGCCCTTCCCCCATAGGCAGCTGGGGGATCCCCGTGGGTCCCCCATTTATGGCTTTGAATTGATGTCCTGTCCCTGCAGATGCCCTACCAGGCCCTGCCACCGACCAGTCAGTCTCTCAACATCTCCTGTTAGAACGGGCATCAGTGACCCCCTTCCCATGTGAGCAGCTGCTCACCACGCTAACCCTCAGTTCCCAGAGGCACCTATGTTTTGAAGCTCAGGGTGGAACTGTGGTTTGGGGGTAGCGGTTGTTTTGAGACGGGATCCATCCAAAAGTGTTTTGTAGCCCAGGGCCTCCTGACCCTCCTGCCTCCACCTCCTGAATGCTGGCATGACAGGTGTGCCCCACAAAGACGCCTGGTTTATGGGTTATTGGGGGTGGAACCCACAGCCTCATGAGTGTTGGGCGAGTGCTGAGCCACCAACTGGCTGCAGTTTTGTCTTGTGCTTTCCAATGAAGATGGGAAAACTAAGGAAGGAGGCTTTAATGGTGTCTTGTGGAGAGGGCTGAGTCCAGGAGAGTGGAGGCTGGGGTCTGCACAGGGCCTCCAGCCCTCCCGGGGGCGGGTCTTTCCTGCCTCTTCAGTGTTGGGGGCTCTGGCCATGCCCCTGGTCACAGGGCTGCCCATCATTTGCCTATCCACGACCTTCGTTGCGCTGCCCAGGTAGCCACTTGAGGAAATGAAATTGTAGTGTGAAGCATTTATTGAGTGATTGCTGTGTACTCCCCAGCAGTGAAGGCAGAACCCCCTTGGGATGGTGTGGAGGACTCCAGCTGTTGTGGTTGCTTGTGCGCAGCACCCAGAGGCCCCATGGAGGGCTGCCTGGCTACCTGCAAGGCCCCACACCCCTCAGGCAGCCTGGAGGGGGAGGACGGGCCTCCCTGGACTTAGGAATGTGGGCCGGCCAGTCTGGCGCTGGCTGGCCCGGGGTGGGGCGCAGACAAAGCCGGGCAGCTGGGCAGCTGACAGCCAAGGCCACCCAGGGCAGAGGCCTGGACTCCTGACTAGGAAGGGTTGCTCACCCTGTCCATGGTCTCCATCCATTGAGCAGATGGAGAAACCGAGTCTTGGGGGGTTGTTGTTGGAAGGATGGTCTGGGGATGGCCCCAAATGCCCACTCTGAGGCTCCCATCAAGCTTTTGGAGACTAAATGATGGATTATGCAGACCCAGGTGTAATTGGTGGTTTCAAGGCCCCCCACAGTCCTGCCAGCTGCATTCCTGGTGGTTAATTTGAAGCCTGGTTTTCAGCTGAGCATTCTAATTATCTCCACTACCACCACCCCAGCTGGGTCAGTGTGGCCCCCCAGCTGGGTCAGTGTGGCCCAGGATCCTGTCCTGTAACAGCAGCTCCTGTGTCACCCACCCCACCATCACAGCCCGGGTGGGCAGAGGGTCAGTCTACATAGGAAACAAGACAGGGGATCCCAGGTGCTCAGAAGTTTGGTGACTGAGTGGATGGATTGAAGGACTGTCAGTGTCACTGTGCCTCAGTTTCCTTGTGGGATAATGCCCAGAGCTCCTAATGCCGGGAGAGGTGGGAAGGACACTTCTTGGGACTTTGGGGACCCAGGACTGTCTCCCTTTTGATCCCCCAGATTGGGGCATTGATTAGTGACCCCTGAGAGCTGTGGAGGGGGTCAGCATTGTCTGTATCTTGGGGAGTATGGGGCTGGCTGAATTCCTGCTGCTGCCCCCCCACGCCCCGTGGTGGGGACATGTCCCTGCTGCCTACTGACCCATCCCTACTCTGTCTGCAGCTCTATGAACTGGACGCAGACCCCAAGAGGAAGGAGTTCCTGGATGACCTGTTCAGCTTCATGCAGAAGCGTGGTGAGTGTCTCCTAGAGCAGGAGGGTGTGGTGGGGAACAAGACATTTCTCCCTTGAGAGAGTGCTCCCCAAACTCTGTGACTGTCCCCAGCTCCAGGTGGACAGGAACCCTGGGGGATTCACTCTCCACCATAGGTTAGGACCAGCTGGGTTGTTATAATCCCAGGGAGGAAACTGAGGCCCAAAGAGGGTGGAGGCCTCAGCTATGGAGCAGGAAGGGGCGGAGGGGACCTGAGGCCAGCACAGGCCATCGCTGGGGCCCAGCTTCTGTAAACACAAACCTCCAGGCCTGCCCACCGGAAGGCAGAGAGAGAAGGGGGGTACCTTGGCCTCCTGATCCCAGCCCAGCCCAGTGGCCTCTTGAGTTAACCCCTCCATGTCGGGGTGGGGCCTGCCGGTCCCTGTGGGTGTGGGGATGCCCCTGTGCTATCCGCAGAGCCCAGCCACTTTCAGTGCAGCCCTGCTGCCCTTCTTGTGGCCGTGTGGCTGTGTGGCCAGAGAGATCTCCCATCCCTCTGTTATCGTCAGCCCCCACCTGGAGTCCCACACACAGCAGGGGGCCTCCAGCCTCCTGGAGGCCACATAGCTGGCCATCCCATTCACCACCATAATAGGGTCAGCAAGGCCAGGGACCGCAATGCTGTAGCACCACTGACCACAAAGGGCTGTGAAAATCCACATTTAACCCTGCCTCCCTAACCAAGTCAAAACAACAAACTCCTGTGTATCCCTCAAAACCCTAGGTCTGCTGCCACCTTGGGTACTTTCTTCTGAGGTGATTTGGAGTCAGTATTCAAACCACCACCCTTGCCTAGTCAGCACAACCTGCCACCCATGGGTCCCTTTTTAGGGAGGGACAGATGACTCCTAGCATCAAAAAACAGAGGCCTTGGAACAAATTTTCCTCAGAAGTCTCTGGAGATGGGAAATGAGGGGTATCCTGCCTGCCCCCCTGCCAGGTTCCCCACCCTTCCTTCACCCCAGCCTCAGCCCTCTGTCGGGCTCCTAGACTTCATATAAACTTCCTCCTCGACTGGCCAAGATTGTTGTGCCTACCTCCTGGTCTCCCTCTAGGGTTGAGCTGCGGTGATCAAACAGGGTGGTGGGTTCGAGATCCACCTCCCCACAGCTGCCCTGGGCTCTGCTCGATTGACAAGAGAGTTTTTGCAACAACTTGGGAGAGGCAGGAAGTGGCTAAGTAGGGAGAGGGTCTCCCAGTGCTGAATTTCTGGGACCATGGAGTCCCTGGGACAGTTGAACCAGGCCCCGGAGCCTCAGTTTCCCCATCAGTAAAGGGGGTGGAGGTGTCTTCTCTCATGAGACAGAGATGAGTGGTCACCATATCAGTGGCTGGGGTGGAGGCTCAGCAGTCTTCAGCATTCTCTATTGAGTACTTGCTGAATGTCAGGCTAGGTTGTGAGGATGAGGATGGCAGGGAGGGCCTCCGGAGCCTAGAACATCGCAGACAGGAGTTAGAGTTAGGGTGAGGCTAGGCTCTGAAGTGGGGACATAATCTCTGGGAGTCACCGGATGGTGGTGACACTTTTTTTTTTCCTTCAAGACCGGGTTTCTCTGTAGTTTTGGAGGCTGTCCTGGAACTCTCTTTGAAGACTAGGCTGGCCTTGAACTCACAGAGATCCGCCTGCCTCCTGAGTGCTGGAATTAAAGGCGTCTGCCACCATCACCTGTCTGTGGTGACACTTTTAATCCCAGTACTTGGGAAGCAGAGGCAGGCAGATCTCTGGGGTTCGAGGCCAGCCTGGTCTACAGAGCAAGTTCCAGGACAGCCAGGGCTACAGAGAAACTCTGTCTCAAAAAACCAAAAACACCACCAACAACTAAAATCTCTGGGAGTTCAGTTGGCAAAAGGGTGCAGGGCCCTGTTTATAGCAGGCTTGCGAAACGGACATCATAGGAGGTGAGGTTTTGATGGACGAACTAAATGCAAGATGGATGTTCCTGCTTCTTAAACTGACAATCCTATTAGCTGAGCCCTCCCCACCCCACTGGAGACTACAGCACCCCAAGGACTGCTGAGGAGGGACAGGGCTGAGCAGGAAGGGCTCTGGTGATGTTCTGTGGTTGGTTGGCAGCTACTGTTGTTGGAGACTTGGAGCAGGGATAACCAGGGCCCTGGAGTCTACTGTGTGTCCCCAGGATGGCCGCCCACCTCTCTCTTCTAACCCCCTCCTCTTCCCTGATGTTTTGGGGAAACTGAGGCTAGCAGGGGCATTGCCTAGGGTCATGCCGCTCTGGAAGATGTTATGGGGAGTGTGTATGTGACTGCCATACAGAAAGTCCTGGTGTCGAGCTGGGGAGAAAAGGGATGGCACCCAGCAACCTGCAGGGCCCAGGACACATGGCCCCCACCTGCCCTTAGCAGCTCCTCCCTGGTGTCCCCCAGGCACGCCAGTGAACCGGATCCCTATCATGGCCAAGCAAGTCCTGGACCTGTTCATGCTGTATGTGCTGGTGACCGAGAAGGGGGGCCTCGTGGAGGTCATCAACAAGAAGCTGTGGCGGGAAATCACCAAGGGGCTCAACCTGCCCACCTCCATCACCAGCGCCGCCTTCACACTGCGGACTCAGTGAGTGCCGGCCGCACCACCTCCTGAGAGAGAGAGCACCCCATAGTAACCATGACCTCCTGAGAGAGAGAGCACCCCATAGTAACCATGACCTCCTGAGAGAGAGAGCACCCCATAGTAACCATGACCTCCTGAGAGAGAGAGCACCCCATAGTAACCATGACCTCCTGAGAGAGAGAGCCCTCCTCTCCTCCTCCTGAGATAATGTGTCCTCTTCCTGAGCTTGTGGCAGGGTGACACTCCCTGGTTGTCTCCGGTGCCACCCTGTTCCCTGTCCACAGGTACATGAAGTATCTTTACCCCTATGAGTGTGAGCGACGAGGCCTGAGCAGCCCCAACGAGCTCCAGGCCGCCATAGACAGCAACCGCAGGGAGGGCCGGCGCCAGAGCTTTGGAGGCTCACTTTTTGCCTACTCACCCAGTGGAGCCCACAACATGCTGTCCTCACCCAAGCTGCCAGTGACTTCCCTGGGCCTTGCGGCCAGCACCAATGGCAGCCCCATCACTCCAGCACCCAAGATCAAGAAAGGTGAATCGTGTGAGGGATTTTGTTTGTTTGTTTGTTTGTTTTTCGAGGCAGGGTTTCTCTGTAGCTTTGGAGACTGTCCTGGAACTCTCTCTGTAGACCAGGCTGTTCTCCAACTCACAGAGATCCTCCTGCCTCTGCCTCCTGAGTGCTGGGGTTAAAGGCGTGCGCCATCACCGCCCAGTGAGGTTATCCTTTTATTTATCTGGGTAACAGTTGTGATAAACCTTAAGTTAGTGGGAAAGAGTTCTCCCATCCACCTGTTACCAAGACAGGCATTATAGTCAATCCCTGGTCTCCAGTCCACTGTCTACAGTTTGCTGTGTCTTCTGCCTGCATCAGACATTACTAATTGAGTTCTGGCTTCCACACTGGGTCCACATGAGGGCAGACATTATCAGTTGAGCACACTACCCCTTTCTAAACCCGGCATTGCTAATCGATTGTAGCATCAGTCTCTTGTGCATGGCAAACACTACTTACTAAGTGGCCACTTCTGTTTCCTTCTGAGCTCTGGAGACCTCTGACCTATACCAGACAAGGACAAAGTGTCCGTCATGACACTTTACCCTTGAATCATCCTAACTCTAATGCTAGGTACCCCTGGGCAACTTGTTAATCCTTTCTGAGTTGCCTTTCAGTGTTAGAGGTGGGAGGCCCAGGTCCATATGTTCTCAATAAGAAAGTTCCCTTTTATGTAGTCGGGTTGATGGCAGTGCTGAGGTTGTTGGTTGCTCAGTGGTTACAGAGTGCTTGCCCAGCTAGCCAGAGCCCTGGGTGCCATTCCAGCACCGTATTAGAAAGGTGTGGTGGTGCATTCCAGCACTTCAGTCATCCTTAGCCACAAAGTGAGTGTGAGGCCAGCCTGAGCTACATGAGACCCAAAACCAAACCAAAATAAAACAAAAAGCCTTGGGAGCAGGGATTGCGGGCTGTGCAGGTTTCACAGGGTCATCTCCCACCTTGGTGGAAGCAAAGCCAGGTAGCTCTTCCCCAGGACCCTCTGACCATGTGCTCTGATTCCCTCTAGAGGAAGACTCTGCCATGCCCATCACCGTCCCAGGCCGCCTGCCTGTGTCTTTGGCGGGCCATCCTGTTGTGGCAGCCCAGGCAGCTGCTGTACAAGCGGCAGCAGCCCAGGCAGCCGTGGCAGCCCAGGCAGCCGCCTTGGAGCAGCTCCGGGAGAAGCTGGAATCCACGGAGCCACCAGAGAAAAAAATGGCCTTGGTTGCTGATGAGCAGCAGCGCCTCATGCAGCGAGCTCTGCAGCAGAACTTCCTGGCCATGGCGGCCCAGCTGCCCATGAATATCAGGATCAATAGCCAAGGTACCCTGACCTTGGCACCCTCCACAATCCACATATGCAGGGCAAAATGAGTGCTTTGGAGCCATTCTATGTGAAGAGTGCTACCAAATCAACCAGAAAAGGGTTATCAAGAGCTAGCTCGTTCATGCAAAAAGTGAGTCTTATCTAGTTGGGAATCTTCCGGTTCATCGGAGTTTGTTTCACGTGGAGTCCTTGGGCTCACACATGGTGTTGCCTACCTGTCATCCCGGCAGGAGGCTGAAGCAGGAAGATGGTGAGTTCAAGGCTAGCCTGAGCTACAGCATGATACCTGGTCATAAAAAATACATAGTAAATGAATAAATAAAATAACCCCACCCCCCCAAAAAATTAGAAAGGCCTCATAGAGGAGGCAGACAGGAACCAAGCCACTCCCCAGGTGTACCTCTGACCCCAATTGTGGATCTCTTGTCCCCACAGCCTCTGAGAGCCGCCAGGACTCAGCTGTGAGCCTTGCCAGTGCCAATGGCAGCAACAGTATTAACATGTCAGTGGAGATGAATGGCATCGTGTACACAGGTAAGCCCAGCAGCACCGCCCGCCACACCCTGCCGCCTCTGCTGTCAGGCCTGCACGACTTGGGGCTAAGGGGGGGTCAGAGGACACCTGTGGGAGTTGGTTTGCTTTTTGCACTGTGGGTCCTGGGGACTGAATTCAGGGCATCCAGCTTGGCAGCAAGTGCCTTTGCCCACTGAGCCATTTTGCCAGTCCTAGTGCCGATCTTTTGAGACAGGGTCTTGCCAGCGCACCCTGGCTGGCCTAGAACTCTCTCTGTAGTCCACGTTGGCCCTACTCCTGTGATCTCCTGCCTCAGCCTCCCAAGTTGCTGGGCTCATAGGCCTGTGCCCCCACTGTTCAGTTGACAGTCATGGGCGGGCACTGTTACAAGTCCCCTGCTTTGTCTTTGTCTCAGGGGTGCTGTTTGCTCAGCCACCACCTCCCACACCACCCTCCGCTCCCAGCAAAGGCAGCATCGGTACCAACAACACCATGGGTAGCCGGACAGGAGCCAGCAGTGGGACCAGCAGCAGCCAGGTGGGGCTGGCCGGAATGTCTGCGCCCACCACATCTTCTACCTCAAATAACTCCTTGCCTTAAAGGAAATCAAGCTGTATTGCTGCCCACCCACCACAGGGATCACACAGCCACATGGGGACCTGGGACATTGGAAGAATCCCAGCAGTCTGGGCAAATTCCCAAGGAGCCACACTGACGCCAAAAAGGAGAGAAAAAAAAAAACATATATATATATACATATATATATATATATATATACATATATATATATATATACATACATATATAGAGAGATAGATAGATAAACAGATTTAATAAATCAGGGCAGAGAACACTTGAATCTCTCTCAGGTTTTGGAGACTCCGAGAAATGGATTTGACAAGGGCCACCAAGGCAACCTGAAAGCAGAAGGCCACCTTTCCAGAGGCTTCCATGGGGGTCTGGCTTGGCCAGCCCAGTTCAAGCACGACTATTTACCTCATGAACCCAGCACTGTGTGTTCTCACTTGGATCTTTTTTTTTTTTTTTTTTTTTTTTTGTCCCTCTATCCTTAACCAGGGTTCCTTCTGGGAAAACCAACCAAGCCGGAGCCAGGACTGTTGTTTTGTTCCCTTCTCCTTGGAAGCTATGAATTTTTTTTTCTTTTTTAAATGAGATCTCAACATTCAGGTGCAAATTTTTTAAAGGTTTTAGGGTTTCCGATTTTGTAAATATTCTATTATATACTGGAGGGTGGGAATTGGATCTCAGGAAGTGTCCCACCTGTATGTCTATATATTTGTGTTCATTCAGGGAAACAAACTTTTTTTTTTTTAAAGAAGTAAAGCACCAGCCAGGGTCCCCAGCCCCTGTGGTGTCCTGTGGTGCCCCTGACTCAGCACCTTGACAGGGCCAGGCGATGCTGGCTCTCAGCAAATTACACAATTCTCTGTCATGTTGGGCCCTGCCCACTGGCTCCATCATTCAGGGACCTGGATCGCTTACCCCAGGATACAGAATGTTCTAGAAGCAGGTCGGGAGAGCAGGACATAGAATACAGTGTCTCAGGGATGAAAATCTGGACTCTCTGCCTGGATGGGTTGCTTCTAGGGGAGATAGGTGTGCCAGGCTTAGCTCAGGACAAGGAGTCTGTTCTTGTCTTTGTCACCCCTCTTGCTGGGAGCAGTTAAATATGACCAGAAAGGATTCTGGTCCTTGGTCTGGTGTCTCAATCCCATCGACCAGCTAAACTGGGCAGTTCTTGGGAGGATGAGAGTTTAAGGTTATCCTTGGCTACCTATGTAGGTTGAGGTCAGCTTGGGCTACTTGAAACCCTGTCTCAACAAAGCAAGGAAAGATGAGGCTGGGGGCAGTGGGTTACACCATTAATTCTAGCATTGTCATAGGCCAGCCTGGTCATACAGCGAATTACAAGCCACCTAGGGGCTTCACATGAGACCCTGTCTCACAAAAGAAAAGAAATTGCATTTCATTTTGGCCAAAGCCATCAGGGCAGAGATGACATAATCTCACCCTGATTTGGGGACCCTTCCAGGATTCTGCCTTGGTCACTATCCCCAAGGGGGCCAGGACAGGAACATGTGGTGAGAGCTGGGACCTGCTTGTCCCTCGGTCCCAGGAGTACCCTGTCACTCCGCTGCTTCTCACTCTAGGCTGTGGGGAGCAGACCCCCTTCCTTCCTGTCTCAGGGTTGTTGACACGCTCCCCTTCCCATCCTTCCAGGAGGAGGGTGTAGCCTTATTTGGAGGGGAGGGGGAAATCTCAACTTTTCCTTCTGGAAGCTTCTGCCTGCCCCTTTTCGGGGCCACTGTCTTAGCTGCACAATCATTCCTGGACACGGGTGTTGAGGGGATCTTTGTCCCCTTCTGACAGCTCTGTGCAAAGTCAAGCTCTGTGGGTAAACTGGCCTGGGGAGGTGGGGTCCAACCTCCTGTGGGGTCTGATTGAGGGGGTCGCCTCGGTGGGCACATCCAAGGCACGTTTCTTTCTACCTCAGGTCTTTTGATGCCAAAAAGAAAAAAAAAATGCACCCAGTCACCCACTTTTCTGGTCACCTGCTGAAGTCCTCAGTGGGGACGGGTATCCTGGTGTCTACTTGTGTCTGGGACTCTTGAGTGGCCAGAAAGCACCCAATACTGACTCAGGGGACTTTCCCACCAGGGCGCTGTGATTGTAGGGGTGTATCATCTGTTGGACACACTGGTGACCCTCCACGGTCCTGTCCCCCGCCCTTGGCATTGAGTGCAGTTGGCAGTGGTTATGCAAGCTGTCATGGGCACGGGGCTGGACACAGTCAGTGTCCACACTGGGACCTCAGGGTTTTCAGGTTGGGGCAAGCTAGATCCCCAAACTCAGGGCGAAGAGGGTGTAAGAGCAGGCACAGGCTGCTTCTAGAACCTTCCTTCCCAGGGACAGGCTGTTTCTGCAATCTTCCTGGTGGCCCTTCTGCTGGCCACCAGGCCGTATGTCTGTCTGTCTGTCTGTCCAGCTGCAGAGGGTGGGTGGGCACGGGGCGTGGGAGAGCGGGTTAGTGTTTTGAGAGTTGTTCATCTGTATAGTCGTAAGGGGATTTTGTCTTTTTTTTTTTTTGTCATTTTTACACACTTCATTTTTTCCCCAAACCCCACATAATTTTGGCTTTTGTGGATTTTAACTTCTGGGTAAAGGTGAGCTGAGTTGTTTTGTTCAGAACATGTGAACTTTTTAGTTTCTTGGGGTGGGAGGGGTTTGTCGGACAGTGGGGTCGCACACCAACTCAGGTAAAATGGATTTTAAAAAATAAAAATAAAAAATTTAAAAAAAGTAAAAAACTTTCTACCTCCGGTCAGTTCCCGCTGGGCTGTGGCCTGTGGCCTGCTGTGGTCACAGCTGTGCCTGTGTGGAATATTCAGGAAAGCTCAACTGTTAACAGGAAAACTCAAACACAACAACAACACAAATGTGATTTTTTGAAACTTAAAAAAAAAGAAACACTGAAAGTTTACATTTTATGACCTTATTGTGGATTGTATTTAAACCTCAGAAATATTTAACGCAATTGTAACCCTGTAAATCGGTGAGATTAAAGAGTTGAGACACTTCTGTGAAAGATTGGTGGTTTGGGGGTTTTGGTTTTGGGGGGAGGGGGTGGTGGAGGTGGAGGGCACCCTGGGTGTGTGAAGGAAACCCCACGGGACTGGAGGGGCTCAGGCATGGAATGAGGAGGAGGTCTGCCCCAGGCAGTTTTCCTTTTGCTCCAGGTCTGTTGTGTAGCTGGTGCTCAAGGGCTGCTCCTATGGAGGGCTGAGGACAACTTTTGGAAGTTGGTTCTCTTCTTCCACCCTGTGTGTTCTGCCAGCTGAACTCAGGTCAGCAGATTAGGAGATGAGTGTCCCTGCCTGCTAAGCCATCTCCTTGGCTGATGTTTCTTTTTTTGCTTCAAAAAAAAAATTAAAAAGGCTGGGCTATGGTGGCACACACCTTTACCCCCAGCACTCGGGAGGAAAAGGCAGGAGGATGTCTGTAAGTTGGAGGACAGCCTGGTCTACAGAGCGAGTTCCAGGACAGCCTGGGCTACACAGACAAACCCTGTCTCAAAAGCACCCCACACACACACACACACTTCATACAATGTATGTTGATCATATTCTTTTTTGAGACAAGGTCTCACTACATAATACTGGCTGGTCTAGAACCCCAGGCACAGAGATCAACATGCCTCTGCCTCCCAGGTGTGAACAGCAGGCTTGGCCTGTTTCTCAGAACCTTTGCACAGGCCCTAAGTGCCTTTCCCATCTGCCTCCCATCTGGGAGCCATTCCCTCTATCCCCACCCTTAGCACCTTGGGACACCATCATCCCATCTTTGTCCCTTGGGCTAATTGTCTGTGACACTCACACTTCTCCCCAGCAGCCAGGTGGAGGCCTCCTTGGAAGCCAACTAACTCCCCAGGGCTTCCCACCCCCACTCCCAGCTCTGGGTCCTGCCCACCTGTCACCCCAGAGACCAGAGCTCCTGGCAGCTCCTCCCCCAGGCTCAAGTGCGCTCCTGCCTCAGCCTCCAGAGAACTGGGAGGTGCCATGTGCCACCTCCTCCAGCTTGGCCGCTTCATGCTGTGGTAGGTATCCCTCAGTGGGCACCCACTGAGGGTTGCTGGCTGGGTCTTGACAGGCAGTGACCGATCAAGGATTTGAGTGGAGAGAGGATCCCTGAATGTCAGCCCCACACCCAGGGGACTCGGGAGACTTAATGACGAGGTCCACCACTGAAGCCAGGTGGACGGCCCAGACCTTGGCTACTCTTGTCCTGCCTGCTCTGACCAAGTCTGGCCCAGGCTGGTCCCTCCCCAAGTTACTGACAGAATTGAGTAAAACAACAGCTGTTTGACTCCTCCAGGCCCCTGAAACCTGCATTTTACACTCAGCTCCCAAGGAGGGGAAGTCACCCACCTGCCCCTGACACCACCTGGAGGACAAGGACCAACAATTTTTTTTTTTTTTTAAGCGTCTTTTAGGCACTCTGTCTTGGCTGGACCTGTCACTTTTCACTCTGATGCCTAAGAGCATCAGACAGGGAACTGAGTGGCCTGGCCCTGAGGCTGCACAGCTTCTCAAGAGCCTGTACAGCAAGGTCCCACCCAGTGACCCCCAAAATTGTTCTCATTGGTGGAACAGAATTTGAGGGGGGTCAGTAGCACCTCCCTCCTTTGGGGGTCCACTGTCAAGCCTTTCTTCCTGAGGAGTTCCCAGATGGTGCACTGGTTTGTGGATTCCACAGGGGAGAAAGTGGTAGCTGGAGTTGGGTGAGCACTGACAGAATGTAGCCATGGAGTTTCTATATGGGGGTGGAGGGTCAGGATGCCTATGCCTTAGTTTTCTCTGATCTGGCTTCCACATACACTGCTGTACCCTCCGTTTTCTCATGGTCTAGCAACTGGGTGTCCAAGTGTGGCTGACACAACAGGACTGTCCTTATTCCAGCGACCATTGGTGGCCGGGGGAGCGGGCTGACCTCTAACCTCATGGTGACCTGGCCACCCACCCCCAGGGAAAGAGTAGCCAGGCCTCAAGGGCTTAGCTGCTACAAGGGAGGCCTGCCCCAGCTGCTGGCCAGCAGGCTCTGCCCCTGCCCCCAGTCCTAGAAAAGATTGAAGAAACTTTTAGGCCTGACCTGCCCAGATAAGGATATCCCTGGGGACCTGGGGCATAGTCCCCATGGGTCTTCCTAGCAAGCCCCTTGGGAAGCAGGAACACAAAGGCCTGGATTTGTACAAGGGCCCAGCCATGGCTCACAGTTGACAAGTTCAAGCCCCAAGTTAGCCCTTGGCAACCCCACCCTTTCTGCTGAGAACCGAACCTGGGCCTTCAAGATTATCCCTGTATCTTTCTTTTTGAATTTTCTTTTCTTTCTTTGGTTTTTTTTTTTTTTTTTTTTTTTTTTTTTTTTTTTTAATTTGACATAGAACCTGGGCATTGCTGGCACACGCCTTTAATTCCAGCATTTGGGAGGCAGAGACAGGCAAATCTATGAGTTTGAGGCCAGTCTGGTCTACAGAATGAGTTCCAGGACAGCCTGCAAAGCTACCAAGAAACCCTGTGTCGAAAAACAAGACAAAAAAGCCAAACAAAAACTGGCACAAGCTCACTAAGTATCCGGGCCTACCTCAGTCTCCTGATCCCCGACACCCACATCACCATGCCTGTTTTCTGTATGCTAGGAGTAGACCCCAGGGCTTCATACATGCTAGGGCCCCTCTCTAGTAGCTGTCCCCAACCCCCCATTTCTCTTTTTGTGAGCCCAGGTCCTGTGTTTCTTTTGTTTTTTGTTTTTTGGTTTTTTTCGAGACAGGGTTTCTCTGTAGCTTTGGAGCCTATCCTGGCACTCGCTCTGGAGACCTGGCTGGCCTCGAACTCACAGAGATCCGTCTGCCTCTAACTCCTGAGTGCTGGGATTAGAGGCGTGCGCCACCAACACCCGGCCCTGTGTTTCTTATTTTATTATTATTTTTAACTATATATGCATATGTCTGTGTGGACATGCGTTCACTTGCATGCAGGCGCCTTTGAGTGCCAAAGGCATCAGATCTCCCGGAGCTGGAGTTACTGGCACCCTGGCATGGATGCTGGGTCCTCTACAAGAGTAGTAAGGGCTATTACCCACCACGTCATCTCCACAGCCCCCTCTGTCTCTCTCTTCTCCCTTCCCCTCCCCTCCGCTGTCCTGTCTCCTGTAAGTTTTTCGAGAGAGGGTTTCTCTGTAGCTTTGGAGCCCTGAACCTCACTCAGTACGCCGGACTGGCCTGGAACTCGGAGATCCGCCTACTGGGATTAAAGGCGCGCACCACCACTTCCGGACCCCATTCCTCTTCTTATTCACACTTTAGCATTAACAGCTCTGTGACCTAGGAAGTTGAGGCAGGAGGATCTGGAGTTAAGGACAACTTGGGCTACACGATTCCTGGGGCTGCGTCCTCCAAACGCAGTTCTACATCCTCCACTGTGCCCCAGGATTGGTCCGTGCACCCGAACTGCGTGTGTCCCCCCGAGTGTCTTGTTCAGGGTGGGTGCCTTCTCTTGAGATGCCTATGGATCTGTGCCCCAGTGGATATCCTCCGAGTCCTCCATGTCCCCGCGGCTTGCGCCTGCCACCTGGTGGCCACAGAGTGGCGCGCTCCACTGCACCTGCCTCTGCTGAGCCGGTCCGGCCCGCGGCTCCAGCTGGTGCAGAGCAGAGCTCCGGCGGCCGGCTGCACGTTAGGGGAAAACACACACACACAGACAGACAGACAGACACACACACACACACACACAGAGAGAGACACACAGACACACACACACAGACACACACAGAGACACACAGACACACACACACATACAGACACACACATTCACACACAGAGACAGACACACACACACACAGACACACACACATACAGACACACACACACTTACACACAGAGACACACTCACAAACAGACAGACAGACAGACAGACACACACACACACACACACACACACACACCGTGGCTAACTCAGACCCGGCCTATCGATGGCCGGCACGCTGTGACCTGAGGTGAACTACGTAAAGGTCGTTGGACTAGAGATTGACTTGTTGGGTCTACACCGAGTGCCCCAAACACAAATCTGAAATTTATGCCTCCAGAGAGGAAAGGTCAAAGAGGAGCGAATCGATAAAGGCCGTGGTCGATCAGCAAGCGGTTAATCACCCAGAGCAACGCCCTGGCCGGAGCCGCCCTGGCCGGAGCCACCTCGGGGTGTACGCAGCCTGATCTTACATGCAGTAACTAATTTCTTTGGGTCTCTATAAAAGTATAACGGCATAGGCAAAGCTTAAAAAGTAAGCCGGCCGCGGTGACACATGCTTGTCATCTCGGCACGCGGGAAACGGAGGCAGGAGGACTGCCGCGAGTTCGAGGACGAGTGTCTCGAGAGGAAAAGACAAAAAAACCCCAAAACTGTAAAAGTTTGAGCCAAAACACCCAGCAGAACCGTCCGGTTGAGTCTGTAGTCGCTGAGTGTAACAGTCGCCTCGACAACCC